ACCACACACACACGCCTCACCTTCCCCGGCCTCCCTTCCCGCTGCGCCGCCTCGCCCAGCCTGTCCAGGACCTTGGCGATGAGGGCGACGCCGCAGGCCACCTGCTCCCTCATGGCCATGTCTAGGGCGGGGTCCCCGCTCAGGGGCACCCAGTTGACGGCGGCGGCCGGCGGACGCAGGTGCGACGGCACCGTCAGCGCCTTGAAAATGTCCATGAACTGCACGGCGGTGCGGGAGGGGGGTGGGTGCTGCATGGATGGACGGCGGACGGCGGGTCACACCCAGGCGCGCATGGGGCTCTGGCAGTCGCAGCGGGAGTCGGGGGGCTGCGGCCTGCAGGCCATTCCCCCCCACGGCGACGTTGCTAGGCTTGCATGCACGCCCCCGGTGGGGCACACCTCCACACGCCCCCCCTCACTCCACGCCAACGCACTTGTAAACCACAGGATCACTGGGCCTCACCTCCCCGATCTTGCCGGTGGGCGAAGGCAGGGGCGCGTCAAAGGAGAAGGCCCCGTCGGGGTCCAGCTCCATGTTGACGGGCAGGTGCAGCTTGAGGGGTCCCTCGTACTCCCCATTCTCCACCCCTGCAGGAGGATTGTGCACGGTGGGGTGAGCAGGCGTCACCCGCCCTCGCCCATGCAGGACCCCTCCGCTCTCAGAACCACCTCGATGCACCCCTGCTCACCCCCCCCCCGCACGCTCACCCAGCGTGAAGCCGCGGCAGTTGGCCGCCCCCAGCACTGTGGCCGCCGCGCCCCTGAACTTGGACTTGAAGTGGCCCACCTCGCGGGAGACCCAGGCATGCCAGGCCTGCAGCAGCTCAAACTGCTCGTCCATGGCCTCCTGGCGCAGCGAGGGGTTGAGGGGGGTGGGGGGGCTGGGCGGATGGAGGGGACGCCGTGGTCAAGTGGGATGGGACTCCAGGAGGAGCAGCCCGCGCCCACCAGAGGCCCGGCGCGTGCCCCTGGCTGCTGTGCGGAGCGTGCCTGGCGCTGTGACCCCCTGGATCCCCAGCAGTCATTGTGGGGAACCCACCGCTTCCCCCTTCCCCAACCCCCCTCCCCCCCGGACACACACTCTCGGCACGCTCACCTTGGTCGCGCCGTCCCCGCCGCCCTCGCTGGCGTTGGGCAGCGGGCCGTTGACAAAGAGCTCCTCCAGAGCGCGGCGCGTGTAGGCGTGCGCGGCGGCGATGGCGGCGTCCAGGTTGAAGGCCGCGTCCAGGGAGGAGAGCGCGACGCGCAGGCGCGCGGGCTTGCGCCGCACCGCCGCCAGCGGCCCGTCCAGGAAAGCGCGCACGTCCAGCGGCCCCAGCGCGGGCTCGGCGCGCGCCAGCGCCGCCCACCCCGCGCTCCGCACGCCGCACAGCTGATCGTACACCT